CAGGAAGGGCTAGAGTTGGTGTATAAAGTTAGTACTCTAAACCATGACCAAAAGAAAGTTCTCCTTTTTCCTCTAGCCATTTCTTTTCCTGGCATAGCATTTAAGAGGAGCGGGTTCTGTTCTCCTGCAGGGGATATGTATGTGCTCACTGTAGTTGGGAAGTCACAGGAAGGAACTTACTGGGCGGGTCTGTGTGGGTGATCTCCTGGGGCACGCGGCACAGTATGAAATCTGAACTCATAGAACATCCCCACAGAAACCCAGGGGTGTGGGCTGTGGCACTTTTTAACAATGTTGTTTAATGGAGCCTCAGACTTAGCAAACCTGTAGAACGGAGGACCCCTCTGTTCTGGGCACCTCTGGCCTTGGATTACTACCATCCAGGTTCCCAGTTCCCCTGGAGGCCTGCGGCTTGGAACTATGAGTGTGCTGGGTCAAGTCCTCTAACAGGACGCAGTATGCCGACCCCAAGTCCCTGTGCTTTGCTACAGGAAAAGTGGGTTTTATGTTTCTGTGTATCTAAAGCAGTGCAAGTTGTTCCTCCCAAAGTGCTGTATAATAAGCCCAGAGTCAGGCAGAACCTCCTGAGATTCTTGCCAGGTGAGGTCTTCTTTCCAAGGAGTCTGCCAGTGGGCTCTTGAGGCCCTGGAGGAGGAGGGGAGGGAGCGAGGGCCACACAGTAACTAATGGAAGGCTGTGCAGTCCTGTAGCTCATGGGCCCGCCTGAGACTACCTGGGAAATATTTCTTGAAGCACCAGAACCAGCAATCCAGTGAGATCACAGACTGTGTGCTGGGCTCAGGTCCAGCACGGGCCCCTGTGGACGTACTGTAGAGCAGCACCGCACTCACATGTGGCTTGTGCTTCTCTCACAAAAGGGAACTGGAGAAGCAGAGGGAGAGCACTGCCACAGACATCCTGCAGAAGAAGCAAGAGGCAGAAGCAGCCGTAAGTGCTCAGCATCCAGCAGGCCCACCCCCTCGGATGAGCCTCCTGCCACACAGAGCCCAGAACACAGGAAAGACCCTCTTCTCCAGCCTGTGTGTCAAGTTGGCTGCAGGATGCACTGCACCCTGCAGTGGACTCGGAGCCTTGGTCTTTTCTTCCCCAGCAGCCTCACCTTGTAGCCTTTATGCTTGCTGTGGGATGCCCTCCTGGGGACTTAGTTCCCTGTCCTGAAGATATCGACAGCTCTCCAAAGGCATAACGGGGTTTTAAAAAATAGCCAGAGCCAGGTGCAGTGGCCCACACCTGTGATCCCAGCAACTCAGGAGGGAGGCAGAAGGATCACAAGTTCAAGGCCTCCCTGAGCAACTTAGCAAGACCAGGGCTGAGGATGTAGCTCACAGTAGAGAGTCCCTGGGTTCAATCCCCAGTGCCACACACACACAAAAGTAGCTGATATTTCCTCTTTTCCTTCCCATTTTGTACTGCCTTCTTTGGGACATGAAGGAGTAGATGTCTTGTATGAATGGCAGGGGACCAGGGGGTTCTTGGTGGTCAGAGTTCTTGCTGTCATCAGCAGCAGGCAGACAGCCTGGAGCAGGCCAGGGCCCGTGTGTGCAGCTGGGGGAGCACATGCCATCGCAGGGAAGTGCAGTCCAGCCCAGCTAAATGGTGCCCCACACAGACAGGGGGTTCCTTTCTCCAGAGGCACTGGGAGTTCACTTCTTGGGTGAAATCTCTGTAAATGCCAACAGTATAGTCTACCCACTCGTCCAGGATCCCTGGGAAGGGAGCTGAGTGCTGTTGCTCCCACTGGGGTCATTGTGTGCATCCTGCCATTTCAGCTCCCAGTTACCCGAGCCACCTACTCTAGGGCTGAGAGCCTTGCTGGTGGGGAGCTGAGCACCAGGGCATCCGCTCCTTCCCTTACAGACCCTGAGCACTTGTGCTGGCCTGGACACGGACTATCTGCCTGCGACTGACCAGCTCAGGGGAGCAATCCCAGCAGGCTCTGATGTGCTTCTCGTCTTTCCTGGCAGGTTCGGTTGATGCAGGAATCTGTCCGAAGGATAATCGAGGCCGAAGAGTCCAGAATGGGTGAGTAGGCGTGTCTTCTCTTGGGCTGGGGTGGGTTCCAGGGGTCTCAAAGATCCTAAGGGAAATACCCAGAGAAGGCCTGTCCCTGCACTGACTGGTCTGTCCTCAGGGCTCATCATCGTGAACGCTTGGTACGGGAAATTTGTCAATGACAAGAGCAAGAAGAGTGAGAAGGTGAAGGTGATCGACGTGACTGTGCCCCTACAGTGCCTGGTGAAAGACTCGAAGCTCATCCTCACGGAGGCCTCCAAGGTGCAGTGCCAGGCCCTGGCCTCCCACCAGAGGAAGAGCACCCTGGCCTCGCCCGGCCAGCTGGTTGCCGTGGCCTTCGTGTTGCCAGCATCCGCTCCATGCACCAAGTAATGCCCGTGCTGGAGCCGTGGGCCGTCTTCATTTGTTTATTCTTAAATCTGTTTGCTCAGCAAGTGGCAGCAAATGGAACACACACTTCCCTGCAGTTGTGTTGTTCACCTCTGCTGTGTTCCAGAAAGAGGGCAAAGCCACTTGGAGCACATGTGAGTCTCGCCTTCGGAGCCTGGGGTGTGAACTCTCCAGAATTCCAGGGCAGATCAGCTCAGGCCAAAGAACTAGCTTCCTGGGGAAGCGGGGTGCTCTGCTGGGGCAGGCTTCTGTGGGACAAGCGGTTCTGATAGTCACACTGGTTCCACCTCCAGAGTGCACATCTCCTTCCACGTGCACAGTGAGGGGAGAAGGAGGCAGCGCAGACTCCGAGACTCACCGTGGTTCTTTACAGGCGGGCCTGCCAGGGTTCTACGACCCGTGTGTGGGGGAAGAGAAGAGCCTCAGAGTGCTTTACCAGTTCCGAGGTGTGCTGCACCAGGTGACGGTCCCTGACAGCGAGGCCCTCAGGATACCAAAGCAGTGTGAGTAGCCCCTCCAGTCACCTGTACGTGGGGTAGCACGTCAGGGTGACAGCCACCTTCCCACTGGGTCCACCTAGGAGCAGGGAGGGCAGCTGGACCCTGGCCTAGTGATTTGCCCAGAGCCTGTGATTTGTGCCCCAGGAAGCAGTGTCAGCCCTTTCACAGGTGAAATTGGGAGTAAGCTCTTGACCAGCGCCTGTAGTATGAGTGGCTGGGAGTGAAAGTAAACTTCTGCGCTCCAATGAGGTCCTGGCAGTCTGTGCTGTGGCCATCTGTGGCCTGAGCATTGCTCGTTCCTCAGCCAGGAAGGCATGGAAACGGACGCCCTTCTAGCCTGAGGTGGCTCTGTCTTTACAGCTCACAGGATCGACACAGATGGATAAACTGCTGCAGAACCTAACTAAGAAGAGGCTGCAAAAATCTTTTCCTGGGAGTCTACAAATTTGGAAGCAGGGAAGCCCCAGACCCAGATGTTTCTATTTTATTTTATTCCTCTAGAAGGTGAACCACATCAATTACGTGAAGGGACACGCAGTCGCCCAGCGTTGTCGGTGCTGGTGGTAGGACTGAGGCGGCCCCACACGGGCCAGACCACAGCATGGTCCACGGCTTTTACCAAGAACCATGTTCCTGGAGGGCAGGGCACATGACCAGTTCTCTGCACACCTGCAGCCTGGCATCCAGCAGCTCTGGGGTCTGGAGGCCTTTGTGGGCCACTCTGTCCTCACACGGGACAGCTGCTCCTTAAGTGCCCACTGCACGTGGGCAATGTGGGAAGGAAGGAGGCGTCCATAGCCAAGGCCTCCAGGTGAGGGATCTGCCCAGCCACCCCACAAGCCACCTTCCTCTGCCGAAATGTCACCAAGTGAATGTGGAGAGGGCTGCGGGTTTATAAAACTGCTTTTTATCTGCAAACAAATGGGTTTGGAAACTGGTCTCTCTTTCCCCACTCCCAGAGCTCCTTCAGTCATTCCTCTTGCCCCTGGCTTGGAACTTGATGTAACCCCAGAGCCTGTCCCTGTGGGAAAAGGCCCTGCCACCAGTGGACAGAAGCTAGCTGTGTCCATCTCACCCTATGACACATGCTCCCCTCCAGAGTTCGGTGCTGGAACTAGGGGAGTTCTGCACAGGAAAGGCAGATGAGAAGGGCCTTATGCACCCAACCAGAGGCAGGGACCCCAAGGCTGGCCCCAGCACCTGTGCCTCTGGTGAGTGCCCAGCAGGTGGCACTGTTATCCCAAGCCCGGCTCCTTCTGGGGTGTCTGCTGAGACCCTTTGGTGTGCCCCACTTGCTGTGTGCCACAGTGAATAGCTCCCTGGTGATCAGAGACTTGTCAGCTGGGCCTTGGAGCCAGCAGTGGTCACTTGCTCATGGCCTCCAAGCAGATGCTGCTTTGGCAGTGGTGATGACCACTGGCCCTAAAGGCTGAGGTCACTCTGGCCTCCAGCTCCCCTGCAGCTGAGATCAGGCTTCACTCCCCAGCACTGTTATCTAGGTAACTGCTGATGACCCCTCTCCAGTTTTTAAAAGTGGTTTAGATTGTCCAATTCTGTAATATCTCAATTTTAAAAGGGGAAGTTTGTGGCTGCCCCATGAGTGAGCCCGAGCTCGCAGCCTGGTGGTCCGTCCCCAGGGCACTGCTGCTGTCTGTCTGAAGCAGGCTGTTCAAGGGCACTCTGCCCACAATAAAGATGTCCTGAGAGCTGAGGGTAGTTATTTAATTGATCTGTGTGTTCATTTTTAGGAGTTCAAAACATAAATAAGTGGCTGCCTCTTCCCCAGAGGCCTGGTTCTTGTCCTGATTCTTCACTGTTGAGCCACGTTTTACACCACAGCTTATCTTTCCCTTTGCCTTGAAGATGTGATTCTGTTTTCTACATCAAACACTGGCCTCCAGTTAGGAAGTCAGTTCAGCTAGGATGGATATCTGATTAACTAAAGTCACAGCTTTCTTTTGTAGTCACAGGTAGGCACGCCCACCCTATTCTTTAATGGGAAACAGGAAGTTGATCCTCTTAGCAGCAGGGAAAGACAAAATAGCAGGAGAAAAAATGAAATGAAGGAGAGAACACTGCATGTGGAAAGACACTTTATTCTGGTGTTCACCACCACCAGGTGGAAAGGAGGCACTTCTCCCAGCTTACTGTCCAGGATGACAGAGGGGACCCACTCACGGGTCTCGGCCATCGCTCCCTCTGCATGGGGGCGGGAGGGCCCCACAGGCTGTCCCTAAAGGAGGTGCACTGGCAGAGTGGGTTCCTTCCTCAGGGAGTGGCTGTGACACTGTCAGGTCAGTTCTTCAAGCTGGGGTTCCAACCATGTTTGCACAGAAACCAGCCTCACCCTGGCACTTTGGTGCCCCAGCAGGTGTGGCTCTGGCTCACATCCGTCCCAGCCCCTGCTCCCCCGGCAGAGGCCTCTCAGTAGACCAGGTGGCCCCTTCCTCAGTGTCAGCAGCAAACCCAAGTGTCCATGACCAGAGCCCCCAAATCACTGCCTGCTCTGGGTGCTGTTTCCAGCTCAGCTCTGCTGCTTTGGCCGTGGCCTGGCCTGGGGTCCCTGCTGACCCCCTCTGTGTGTGCGGAGGCGGCTGGACATCCTCTGCATCACCAGCCTCTGGGCCTTCAAGCGCTTTCTGAGCTTTTCGTTTTCTTTCAGAGTGAAGAAGAGTTTTTTTTTCAGGGCATCTAAATCCAAAAGGGCATAGCTGTGGTCAGAAGCCTGCATGGGAAGGGCCCTCTTCAGCTCAGCGGGGCTGGCTGGCCAGCCAGGAGCCTCTGCTGCTTCTGATCTCTGTGGCAAAACCTAAGGACAGAGTTGAGCAAGAGCCATGAGCTGCCCAGATTGTCCCCAGTAGGAAGACTATCCCAGTTGGGGCTACCGGTGACCCATCGCCAGTCCAGTTCTGCTCCGGCCCTGCCAACAGGGCGCTGCCACTGCTCTGCCGATACACAGTGTACCTCAGTCCTGCTGGTCACCTTTACTGGGAAGCTCTAAAATCAAGGCCACTGATCCTGCTCCTCATTCTCTTATTGGGGCGAACAAGGTTCAAAATGAGCTGCCAAGATCAACTGACCACACGCTGCCTTCTGTGGGGACCCATGTCTTACCTGCTGCAGGGGGCCTTCAGGGTTTGGGGGCAGCTGCAGCTCTTCCAGCACAATGTCCATGCTCTTCCTTGGGCCATCCTCCTTGGCCGCTGCCTCAGGGCAGACCTGGGAACAGCAGGCAGGCAGGATGGCGAGGCAGGGAGACACCAGACACCACAGCTGCCACCGTCCGTCCCTGAGCAATCCCTGCATAAGCAGCTATAGCCAGGGATGGCCACAGGGCCTGCACAACAGTAGAAACAACCTGCCTCTTATGCCACAAACCTGAGACCAGGGCACCAGCCGTGGAACCCCCCAAGGTGTCTCACGCTGAATAGAAAGAGGGATGGCTCTCCCTTCACAAGAAATGAAGTGACCCAGACTCTAGCTGTGAGGAAATGGAACAAACCCCTGCAGGCCAGCCATATTAAGAAGCTGCTGCCCACACTGTAGACGCCACAGTGTCACTGAGATGAGCAAAGAACAGCCAGCGCAGACTCACCTTCTCTCCCTGAGAGCCGGCATCTCCTCTCTCCCTGGCTCGGTTTGTGTTCTCCCTCACAGGCTGCAAGACAGGACATAGCAGGTGCAGCCAGGGCATGATGAGATCCCCGTCACTAAGGTCCCTTGGAGCCAGGACTTGGGCTCCTGTGACCCCAGTGTTCAGCCTGATGCAGGGCACACCCAACCACTCTTGCTCAGCCTGTGCTCCCTTTCTCCAAAGATGTTCCCAAGTCCCAAGTCATGGTCCGGAGGCCCCTAAACAGGTCCCTGTAGAGCCAGGACTTAACAATACACACGTGTTGCCCCAGGGCTGCCATCTGGCCATCAGTAGATGTTTGTGACAGCTCACAATGGAAAGCCTGGCACCACAGACACAATCTGCACTCCCTGCCCAGCAGACGTGCCTGCAGGAACCATAACCAGTTTCTCTTCACCAATCTGATGTGGGCACCAAGCACAGCAGAAGCACACATATCCTCCTGGCCAGCTGTGTAACTGACCTCTTATTCCTGGGGCAAACATTCCACACATGTGTGTGAACATGATAAAACGACTCCACCTCTTAACAAGCATGCACCGAGCAGACCCCTGGGTGCGGGGCGTACGGCACTGAGCCTATCCCTGCCGTCATGGTCCTTCCATGGTTCGGTGGGTGTACACATTAGGAAGACCAAGGGCAAGAAAGGGGTACTATGGAGAGCCAGAGGGACAGACAGACCTGGAGATGAAGCAGCAAGGGTGGGGGTGGCAGGGGAGGCCTCGTGAAGGGCAGAGCCAGGGCAAGCTTCCCACTCCTGAGCTCAGGCCCACCACTCGCTCCCAGGACCAGCCAGCCTAGGGGCCTGCTGCTTGTCCCACACCACTTTGCCTTCCCACTTCAAGCAGGTGTACCCTAGGGGCCCCCAGACACTGGCCTCGGCACACCTAAGAGTTTAGGAGTCAACTCAGTCTCCATGGCTGCCATGTCCAGCTATTGTGGACTCCCTCCCAAGCAGAACTTGAACTTCCTGTCCCCACTAAGGCATGTCTACCTTCATGTCCCATGGGAATGTCAAACTCCACCTGCACAAAATCAAACTCAAGCCACTGCCAAGGACTTAGCAGCCTCACCCTTGAGCCCCCTCGCTTCCAGATGTTCTATCCCCACTGCCCACCTTCCCCTGGCAGTTTCCACGGAGGAAGAGGAATAGTAGCCTATGTCTGTTACCCAGGACCTCTGTTCTTTCGACCCCTTAGCTAATGCAAGTAAGGGTGGTGACCTGCTTCTTGCTGGCCCCGAGGGTTATATCCATATGAGAAATCAACAGAGACAGCAGGAAGACCCTAACCACTGTCCAAGGGATCGATGATGATGACAATAAAAAACTAGTGGAGGTGTTGAAGAAGAAATTGGCCTGCAATGGTACTGTCCACTGAGCATCCAGAAGATGCAAAAGTAATTCATTTGCTGGGTGACCAGCGCAAGAATATGTGCCAGTTCCTGGTAGAGACTGGACCAAGGGCGATCAGCTGAAGGTTTTAACTGTTTGTGGCTCACTGAAGCTCAAGTGAGGATTTCCCTGCAATGAGTCCCTTGTCTCAAGTTCAAAAACCTCACAGCTTATAAAATTTAACCATTTTAGATCTGCTTGTAACTTGTAGTAGGGTAACTCCTTCACGCATACACTGAAAACAGCCATGCCAAAAAAACCTCAGGGAGTCCAGGAACCACCTGCTCCAGGGGCCAGCAAGCTCTGCAAGTCTTGGACTTGCAGCCTCCAGAACTCTGAGAAAGAAATGCTGCCTTTCAAGCCACCCAGGCTAGGTCCTCTGCTATAGCAACCTGAGCTGGCTAAGACATCCTAAAACCCCATCGCTTGTCCATGCTCCCATCCTCTAGGCCCAGCTCCTCTCCCCAGCTTCTGGGACCCTCCAAAAACTGTTCCCAACTCTGACCAAATTTTTTTGACTGCCAGGCTCTGCCCACTGTCCCTGAGTCCCCTCTACTGCTCCCCCTGCAACACCATTCCATTCCCCTGGCCCAGCTCCTCTCCCTCACATCACTGCAGGCCCAGCAGTTCGTGGCACAGCACACAGTAGGACCGCTCAGTGGTGCACGCTGCACAGTCCTGGTGCTACTAAGACAAAGAGCACTGTGCCTGTCTGCAGCACCAAACCTGCTGCCTCAAGGGGAAGGAAGATCTTCCCTGCATGGTCCCCAGCCCAGGGAGACCCAGGCAGAGCAAGAGGCAAATGACCAAACTCAGCCAGTCAGCTGCTCCAACAACAACTGTGGTGAAGAGGCTGGGTTTGTTTTTAAGAGATAAGCTATGCTGTCCAGGCCGGCCTCAAACTCCTGGGCCCAAGCAGTCCTCTAGCCAGAATGCAGGTGCACATCACCATGCCCAGCGTTACATGATTTTATTTTTATATTTTTGGTACTGGGATTGAACCCAAGGGCACTCTACCACTCAGCTACATCCCCGCCATTTTTGTTTTTCATGTTGATACAGGGTCTTGCTAAGCTGCCCAGGCTGTTTTCATACTTGTGGTCCTCTGGCCTCAGCTTGGAGCCACTGGGATTACAGGGGTGCATCAATACACCCCACACAACTTATTTTAAAGCAAAGATCACAGCCAGCAGTGCCAGCCTCTGGGGTCCAGAGCCCTGACAGTACCACCCCCAAATAGTTCTTGACCTTTGCTTTTCCTGCAAATGCTACCTCCACCCCCAACTGCTGGAGGAACCCATTGGGCTGAATCTGAAAAGACCAAAGGCGGCCACCGGCATGTCCCTACCTGCGTGGAGTCCTGAAAGGCAAACACTGTCGGCACAGCATTGTGCTTCAGGTTTTTGCGGTTTCCAAATGCACTGAAGCATTCGGGTCTGAAGTGCTCGGAGCAGATGACCGTGTGCTGCTTAGGCTTGAAGCCAGCCCGGCCGATGTTCAACACCCACTCCTTCAGCAGCTCAGGCCGGCTGAATGGGAACCTGAGGTGCAGACAGAGGTGAGAGGTCTGGCAAAGCTGAGTTCAGCACTACTGCAGGGTACTTTATTGTACAGCTTTGGAAATTCATAATCCCACTTTGTTAGATCACATCTAATTTCTGGAAGGTTCTGGCTGTTAACAGCATTCTTAATGGAAACCTGAGAGGATAGACATGGTCAAAGAGCCCAAATGAGGGGCTGGGACTGAAGCTCAGTGGTAGAGCACTTGCCCAGCATATGTGAGGAGACAGGAGACAGGTCTCTTGCAAACTGTCCAGAGCAGAGTATTTGTTGGAGGGTGAGGGTGGGAGTTGGTGCCACCCAGATGCCCTTCAATTGTAGGGCAGATGAACTCTGGTATATACATTTGATGGAATACTATACTGCAAAGAAAAGGAATGGACAGCTTCTGCACATGGCAAAGGATGACTCTGAAACAATCCTGAGTCAAAGACAGAAAAAATACATGCTGCGATTCCATTTCTGTAAAGTTCAAAACAGGCCAAATCAATTCATTCTGATAGAAGGCAGGACATTCCCAAGGGCAGATGGGAGGAGGACGACTGGAAAGGGGTGCAGCAGCTCATTCAGCAGCCTTCATGAGCCTTCACTACATGAAAACAGGTCTGTGTACGAAGGTGTCGTTTTCCTACACCTACGTTATACATCAATAGAAACATTAAACAGTGCCATGGCCAGAGAGCACAGGCCGTCGACCCTCTAGAGACGCTGCAGGGCGGAGCCCTGGAGGAGTGCTCTCCTGGGCAGGGGGCCCTGGCGTGCTGGAAAAGGGGTCCTGGGCTGCAGCACCCCTTCAAATGCCCGCCATCCTCCCATGACCGCGCGGTCCCTGCCAGCCGCCTGGCCCCGAGGGTTCCCATCCGTGCTCGCCA